GATATTTCATGTAAGTAAATCAAGGACGGTAATATATTTTTTTCTTTTTTAATCTGCTATGAAATATTTTTTATAACATAATATAGGATATACAGGATACTATACTACTAGTTTCTATCCCATAATATATGGTGAGTTGGAACAAAGCAGCATGCTGCTTACATTACAATTATTTACATATTATATTTTTTTATGTCCCGTGTGTGTTTTTAGGGTCTCTTATACAGGCGAAGGGCTATTATTCTTTTACTCAATTAAAATTAATTTTTCCACATACTAAAATCTCATCAATATGACATCTAAACATACCCTAGTTAGCCTTTGGTAATAAAATGTGGAGTTATCAAATATTTAGCAGTTTTACCGCGTGTGAGTAATGTATGAGTCATGTACTCAGTATCGTGAGTCAACGCCATGGGTACGGGTCGATGGCGATGATTCTGCAAGGAGATAATTTAACAACGTAGATTTTGTATTGCTGGGAAATCCGAATTTTTCAACAACAGAAGATCTAAATAGTAAGTGAAGTGAGAACCTTTTTATATTTACTTATGTATGTACATTGTACATATTATATAAATGTAAATGTTTGATTATATAAAATCACAAATCTTCAAAAGTTCTTCGCCGAATGATATAATCTAATGTGACCTTCGTCAATATAACGAATTAGGTAAGTCAATAGAAAAATTTTCATTTATTTTATGATCCGAAGTCGAAACTATCCCAACATAATAAACGTTCTGCGGTCTCAAATATGTAGAACATACTTATACATATTACATATACACATATAAAAAATCTATGTATATTGTATATAAAAATAGGTTTGTCAGAAAGCAAACGGCGAAGAAGTTTCGTATATTGATATTGAAAGTTTTACACAAACAAACATTTATAATTTTATATAGATAAAAAACGTGATATGTGCAATTACATATATTGGTTTTCCCTGTGTTATCTCTACGAATCATCGAATTCTTATCAATATACTGATGCAATACGACGTAACAAATAACAATGTGTTTATATATAAAAGAGGTGCATCACTTGATATTTCCTTTCTTATTAAATGTATGATAATCAAAAGGAAATGTGCAATAATAAAAGCTAATTGCACGTTTGTAACTTTATGTTTAAGATTTATATCTATACAGATAAATAAAATTGAAGTGTCTGTTTGTAATGTCAAAATAACAGCTTTTTACTAAATGCATATGAAATTATATACGGTACTTATAAGAAAAACATTTTCATTTTTGTCTGTCTGTTTGTTACGGCTAATCTCCGAAACGGCTGGAATGATTTTAACTAGACTTTCACTGGTAAATAGCTGATGCTATTTTAGTGGTTGGGTGGTATATGGTGTAATAAATTAACACGAAATCTGAACGATATATTTATTATGCGTGCGAGTATCTCATCCCAGTGTCTCATTCCAACTGAGGGCTGCAAATATATACATATAATGTAATGTGCTGACGGCACACTATAAAGAGTGAGTGAGTTGAACGTGTAAAACTAACAAGTATTCATCTACCAGTAATATCGTATATTTTTAATACCAAGTCTTTTTTAATTCAAAATATAGATACTTATTATCCCAAAACTATTCGGATAAAATTCTTTCTTGATGTAAATTATTTTCAAAATATTTGCTTTTCTATAATACCATACGCGTTTATATTTCGTTAAAAAAAATGGTTCAAACCATACGGAAACTATTTCATTACATCTTAACTGATACTGGTATTTACATCAACAACTTGATAAATAAAAACTAACCTTATGAGCTTATAATGTGGTTTATTTTCATTCACATTCAAATTAAGTTTATTTTTATCTTACGACAAAATTTGACGTTTTCATAAAAAACCTCGTCTAATGTTACGGTGGTTGTCTTAAAGGATGGGGTTTTTATAGCGTTTCCTTTAGTTTGTGGCTTGACTTTATAGTTTCTTTATTGTGGGGTTTTGTTTACTTTGTATTATGATACAAGTGACCAGCCTTTGCTAAAGACAGGCTTTTCTAGCTGAATTTTTGCAGCAAAGTATAAAAATTATTTGATGTCTTGGGACATAATATGTATTCTGTTTAAAATAAGAATTTAATTCAGAATGGTCAGTAATAAATTAAATTGCAGTGAGATCAATAAATATCTAATGGTAGTGTAATAGAATCCTCTAAATCTAAGCAAAGTGCATAATAAATAAAAATAATATATTTTAATGACTCTTCGACGAAGGAATATTTTGAATGAGAATCATTTTTCTATTTAAACAGATCGCTTATATATGCGTAATACTAATACAAATTAATATTATATGATTTATGTTTCTTAAAACAACATTTTTTATACTTTTCTTAGTTAATATAGTTGCAGTGTTACGAAAATTTAAGACCAAATGAAACATTGACCTTACCACACATCTCGTATTACACAACGATAACATACAGCGTATCTTTAAATAGAGACTTATCTATGATTTGGTCTCAAGTTATCAACGACTGTTGTACCAGTTACGTATTTTTGTATGTCTCGCATTATTTTAAGAAACTCGATGCTGGTTCGTTTTCAGACTATTGTGTAATTGTTATATGTAAATTTATATTCTTCTTCAACTCCGCTCGCAAATTGCGAATCGGGAATCTATCGGGAAGAATTAAGTAACTCCGTTCAAAGACCAAATCTTCCCTGTATACATCTAGCAAATAATCTTTTGTCGACCTATGTACGAGTATCATACATAAGTTCAAATAAATTTTAGTACAGGAAACTATATTATTTCCCTATAACCATCTGCATTTAATACTTTTTATAAACAACAGCTCATAATAAGAAGCTGTTTCTAATCTTTCAACACTTCGCTCCATATGGGTACGTAAAATTTAGTTTAAAATTTTGGGCAACTAATTTAATAACGTATTTTGTACTGAACGTATCAGCAACTTTTCTAATGAATTATAGCCAGGAATGTTTCTACACACTTTAATTAAAAACACATGGTACTGCTAAGGGTAGAGTAAAGGAACTTTTACGGTAATTTTCAAGTCGTTACCTTATAAGTTATATATTAATAAATATATGGCGTAAAGTATTAAAAATCGGATAAGTACGAGTCGGACTTGTACATCGAAGGTTCCGTAGTATAAAACATTAAAGCACGATTATAATAATTTTAAATCGCAGCGGGAAGTATGTTATAAGTTTTGATTCCTTTGCGTTTGATTTTTTTGCGTCAAAAGTTTTTTTTTTTGGAGACCTCAGTATTTAATATTATTTTCAACTTGATACCTTCTGAGGGAAAGGGTCTTGACAGACAGTTGGACAACGAAATGATCCTATAAGTGTTCCTTTTTTCATTTTGAGGTACAGAACCCTAAATAACGTGCATACTTATGGAACCCCTCCTTGTTTAAGTTGGATAAATATAAATAAATAACTAATTAGTGCTTAATATATCACTTGTAAGGTAGCTTATCTTGTACATGGCATGTTTAAGTTCACGTTCGGACTTAATTGCTTTAAATATCGTTATATTATATTTTAACTTCCAAACCGATAACCAATCGGTTATAAATAACATGCGATTCGATTACTAAAAGCTGAGACGTCTCAACTGAGACAGTTAAATAAATCACTACGACAACTCTCGTTAAAACCTTACCAACTATAAAATTACTTTTTCGATACAATTTGTAAGCCGAAATGAAAATATTTGATTAATGACACCTAAGCTATTACGTTCTGATATGTAAATCAAGGCAGTTATTTTAACTGGTTATGGGTATCTTTAAAGGTCATCTATTAGAAATACAGTTAACTTTAACTCTACATTTTAAGGTACATTTGATACCAGTAAAAGATAGAGCGATAGTGGAAATGCATCTTTATAGTAAACTAGTTTCTTTATAAATTATGGTGCCGTGATCTCATATTCCTAACGTTATGTAAGTTTAACAGGGTCTCTAGATATTACTTTAGTTGATGCACCAATAAATGGCTCTACATATTACAATTTATACTCTTTAAATTAGTAATTAAAGGTACAGGTTACATGTATAACAAAATTCTAACTCAGTCGAATCTTCACATTATTTTTTTTTTTTGGAAAATCTTATTGAAAAAGACATTATTATCGATACAGAGGTCAAATCTACAGTTTTTAGAATTTATGTCTGTTTGTCCGTCTGTCTGTAACCGCATCACGACAATCACTGGACAGATTTTGATGAAATATGGTATGATGATAGCTGGTTATCCGGGTCACATATAGGGTATTTTTTACTGCGGGAAAATATCTTATCTCTGTGAAATCTATACTAAACGTTAAAACGTAAATAGAAGCGAATACGAGCGAAAAGAGTGAGTCTCTAGTTTGCAATAAGGTTAGAATAAATAAATAGCACAAAATAATGGAACATTATAGAAAAGCTCAAAGGAAATGAAAATCCGAGTTATCTTTGACCTGAGATGACGTTATCAGAGCTTTTCAAAACCTTTGAATAACGAAAGTTAGAAAAAATATGTAGTATAAAAACGTAAGATATAATTAACAGATAAGACTACCCTAAACGACCAGCCAGAAAAACTCGTAGTTCACTAAAAACCTTCCACCAAGACTCTCGTACCAATTTAAAACCCCCAAGAGTCCAATTGTCTACATGAATAAATTGATTCAGATTAATAAAACGGTCGATATGTGACGTCGCGGTACATTTTTCTTATCAATATTGTTTCACTTGCGATTTCGCAGTCTTCCGACGGGTGTCTAATCGAACGTACATTGTCATAGCCGATGCGTCATTAAACACGATTAACTTAAACGTTAAGTGAATTTTGTGATATTTTTTAACTAACTAACTCTATTTTTATTAAAAAAAAATCTAAATTATGTGTTTAAGTGCTAATTTAGTTATTTATGTGATATAATTGGTGTTTCTCAAAATAAATCTGACTAATGTAGAGATGACGGCTGTTAAATGCTTTGGAATATTTAATGACTGCCATACTGATGGGAAACTGTAAGTTGATTTTTTATGGTTATTTCAAATGAGGTCTCAGTTTCCACTTGTTCAAACATGTAGGAAATAAATTTTGCTATTGTTTTATTTTTAACGCTATAACATAATATAAATGTATGTAGGTACGTGTATATAACTGATTTAAATAATTTATTTTTATGTAGGAAGTATTATTAGTACAAGAGTCAATGTTCTATATAAGAATTATATAGAAAAATATTCTTTAAAACATCTGCTGTTCTAAGGCGCTTACATCACTTTAAGTTTTGTGTAATTGGATGAAGTAATGCTTTAAAATATTATTATTACAGGAAAAATAATTTTCATTGGTCTTAAAGTAAAGTACTATGATATTAGTGTAAAATTATTAATAACGTATTCAGTACAAGAAATAAGCGTAAAATTATGATGTCAAACCTCAAATATTTAAACGAAGATGATTTCAAGGTGAAAGGGACAGATCAAGAAATGTTTTTATCATGATCTAACTTGGGTTTCCTCGATACTATAAATAAAATCTATAGTTACTAAAACACTACTATATGTATATATATATATATATATATATATATGTATATACAAATTCAAATAAAAGAATATCGTACATATAAATTTAATACATATAAATAAGTTTCTATATAATATAATTTTTATTACGATTACTGTTTGTAAAATTGTCTTTCTGTTCGTCAATTGCAAGGCATACGTGAGTATAAGGGAAGCCTTAAAACATTATTAGTATTCTAGACACCAAGTAGACAACTGTCGTTGTAGAGTGGGACGTGTGTCTGACTGGCTCTGCCTATTATAACGTAGTGAAGGGGTTCAAATGTGGCTTGATGAATATCCGTTATAACTATCAATTAAATTGCGAAAAATTTCTAAAATGTACTTCTATGTATAAAAAATAATACATAGCAATACATATTGCATATAAATTAGTATTGAAATGAAGCTTTAATCAAATAGACTTATTACAAGCACTTTAAAATAGACTTTTGTTTGTGTTGTGATGTTTAAGGTATATTTCGTAAACCTGAAAACCTACCACATACCTAACTACAGTCAAGCAAATGTTAATTCGGAAAATTCTTTCGCTTTAGTGACAATATAAAGCTACATCATCCATGTATACCATTATCTATGTCTCATCTCAATAACTATAAGTTTTAAGTATGGAACCGAATTATAACTAAACTAGCAGAACCCGCGGCTTCGCTCGCGCTAATACTACAAAAAAAGTCTTTGGTTTTATGCTATTAATATGTAATAACGCATGGGAGTCTGCCCGATCTTTTGACATTTGTGATTACTGCTCCCTTAAGTACCTATTGGCATAATAATATACCTAACCTTATAGCCTTTCTCAATAAACGGGCTATATAAAGCAAAAAAAATCGAATCAGATTAGTGGTATTTTTAGTTTGTTTTGTTAATTATTAATTGATAAGCACGCTTAAACAAGAAACTCTGCCTCTTTATAATAATATTATAGACAAGCAACTCACCCTCGCTTCGTTCGGGTTCGTCCCTAGATTGATTTCCCATACAAACTTTCATCCCCCTTTTTACTCTCCTAAGGGATGATTTCCGGGATAAAAAGTATCCTATGTGCTTTCCCGGGTCACAAACTATCTTCTTACCAAATTTCATCTAAATCGGTTCAGTAAATCCAAAGATTACCCCCTACAACGTCACAAACTCACAATTCACAAACTTTACCTCTTTATAATATTAGTATCTAGTATAGATAACGCAATTATAGCAAAGAGAAAACTACAATACTTAAAACAAGCTGTATACATACATTTAGTTGAAGTAACAAGTAAGCTAGAAACAGCAAGTGACAGTTACAAGTTTAACTGCCTCATAAGAACAATAGCCCATTGTGGGCGCTCACCCGACGCGGGCGCCGCGCCGTGGCCGTGCACTGTGCAGTGTGCAGTCACGGCTGGTGAATTATACTAAGATCTGGAAAGAAACTAAAATTTGGTCATTTAGAATATACTAACAGACACTTTAATTTTATTTATCTGTATAGATAAGGTACATACTTAATTGATTTTATGATTTTTGTATATTATTTGCCTTTTACCACATACCAATGACTTATTTTAGGAGCAATTTCAATGAATATAATTAAAGATATATAAGATCGATAAGAAATGAAAGCTTTTAATAGTCCTAATTCAAACAAATATACGTTTTGTAAAGTAAACGTCTAATCAAAATGTACATAGAGTTCACAGTTAAATACATTGTGATCTAAATTGGCCTGAATTGCTTGGCATCAGCACGGGGACGAATGCGAATAACCTCACAATTCTTAATTATTTAAAAATTACAAAATAAGTTTTAAAAATTAAAATTAAGGAAAAAGTATAAAATGAATCTATTAGGTAATTAATGGGAGATAAAATAGCTAAATATTAATTGTCCTGAAAAAAGTGTAATGGAAAGGCGAAGAAGCGAAAAGAAAGAATTAACAAATTTTATAACATACATAGTAATATAGTATATATTTAATATTGCCTACTATATATAAAACTACCTTGCCTACTATATATAATACTAAATATATAAAATAAAAAAAATCTAGAATTCAAAATGAGTACCAACTACCGGATCAAATTTTAGCTAAAATTAATCCAGGTACACACCCCATAAGTACACACAAAATTTTTAAAATCACACAAGCCGTTTATGAGGAGAAGAATTACAACAACAAAACAAAAGCACACCTGAAATTTTTTCTATACATATAATAAAATTGTAACCAAGCCGAATACAGTACATTAAATATTTTTGGAAAATCTTATTGAAATAGACATTATTATCGATACATAGACCGAATATATAGTTTTTAGAATTTTTGTCTGTCTGTCTGTCTGTCTATGTGTCTGTAAACGCATCACGGAAATCCACTGGGGGGATTTTGATGTAGTATGATAGCTGGTTATCAGGGTCAACATATAGGATACTTTTTGCTGCAGGAAAATATCTCATCTATGAGAAATCTATACTAAACGTTAAAATGTACATAGTATCATAATAAAAATTAAATCAGTTCATACAATAACTATTTCAATAAATCAAGCTGTGAATATCTCACACTGTATAAAGATTAAATTGATACAAATTGTATCTGCTTCCGCTTTGAAGACTGTACAAAGCATTCCTTTACATTTACAAATCAACATTACTATTATCATTGTTAGATGTACCAAGCTGCTTTATGTAGGTTAGGAATGTTTTCATTAATTAATATTTGATTCTGAACTCTAGTTCATTACGTTGATAATTTACGGAAAAAAAATTTAAACTCAAAAATTATGAATTTTTTATAGTCGATACTAATGACATTTGTTAATATTACTGACACATTCATTAAAAACATATAAATTAAGTTACATCTGATGGAGATATTGTGTGACATTCATACATAAAACACACACCTAAATTATACTTTTTTAAAGTAACTTTGATTATGACAACAATATTAAATCCCGTTAGTGGTAGTATAGTGTATAACGTGAGTGACGAAAAATACAGATCTGCATATTTTGCACTGTGATGTAATAAATAGTGAATATACAAGGTTTCAAATATTTAAAAAGGCGATTGAAATAAAATCAAATACCTACATGGGTGAATAGGTTAATACACTCATAATCTTGCAAATTTAATTCTACGAGTATGCTAAACACTACATACAGCTCAATCAAAATTAATACTTAAATTTAATATTGTAAAGTAAGTTTTTCCTAAAAATGGCAAATGTTTTATCGAATTTGATAAGTTATCAAACTTTGAGCAGTGTTTGTTAAATATTTTGGCACCTATATCCCTATCGATGTTTGAGTTCGAAAGCATGAGATATTACATGACATATTAGCTGTCACTTTTAACTATAGCGACTTCCTTGCTTTAGTAAAAAAATAGACTGTTATTGGCACCAAGTGACCTGTACAAGTTTATCTTCTCTAATATATAAAATTTCCATGTCACAATGTTAGTTATCGTACTTCTCCGAAACGGCTTTACCGATTTTTACCAAATTTTATATGCGTATTCAGTGGGTCTGAGAATCGGCTACTATCTATTTTACATACCCCTAAGTGATAAGGGTGGCCCACGTTAGGGACGAACCCGAGCGGAGCGAGGGTGAGTCGCTAGTTATTATATATATTTTAAGCTTGATTTTGACAACGGAAATATTACATTAATATCGCTCAGTGGTGGGTACTCTTTATACATACCATGAACGTGATTAAACTATGTGTATAAATGGGTTTATTTTACTATCTGTACCATAACGGTTAAAAATGTTTTTTTGACATCGCACCTTATAAAAGACAATTATATTAATATTAGAGAAATATAATTTTATATCTATAAAAAAAACATACGAAATTATTGAATGTTTATTACTTTACACGAATTTAATTTAACAATTTGATTTCTAAAAATATAGTGTTTCTAATGGCCGACCTCGGCCTTATTGCGTTACTAAACAACATTTAGTTTTTTTACAATTTAGGTACAAAAAAAAAGTTGTTGAGAAATTGTTTTTTTTATTGACCTCTATTTTACAATACTCACCTATTTTTATGTATTAGACGTATTAGTTAAATATGAAGTATTAACTTAAGGTATAATCTAGTCTTATCTTATTTATACTTTATATAGACTTATATGATATATGTGGTGTTGTACCTCAATTCGGAAAAGCAGTATACGAGTAATAACACGTACACCTTATGGGAATCGAACCTGTGACCGTCAATCGGATATATATCAAATATGGATATTAGATAAATCCACATAAAATTGTTTTTGTCTTAATTAGGTTAGTGAATTTATGCTCTGCAGTGAACTTTCCCTGCCCCTGTGCTGGTTTCTTATCAATGACAATATTTACTGTCAAAATTATCTATAATTGAATGTAAGCTTCGACTTTCAACCACGTATGTGACAAATGTTATGGCATTATGTTATTGTTCCTATATATGTACAAAGTATATCAATTTTTTGTTATTTAATGATTGATATATTATTTCATTATCTGGCATATGTAGGTATATTACTTACTACATATTATAAAACAAAGTCCTCCGCCGCGTCTGTCTGTCTGTCTGTTCGCGATAAACTCAAAAAGTACTGCACTGATTTTCATGCTGTTTTCACTAATCGATAGAGTAGTTCTTGAGCAAGGTTTTAGTATATAATTGCTAAGTTTTTGTATACATTGTCTAAAATATAACGATATTTATTGGAGTATCGGAAAAAAATTAGCCGTCTGAGAGCTTTCAACGAGAACACTGCCCTGTCTAAATAAACCCTTTGAGATATAACAAAATAATGTATCGTGGAATTGTGTATCTTATACCTATAGGTATATATAAAAGTCCGCGATGGCGTATGTCTATCTCTTAAATCCTTAATATTATCCAATATACTATATCCATTATAATTTAAAACGTACCTAGAGACGAACCCGAGCGAAGCGAAGGTGAGTCGCTAGTATATATGTAAAAGTGATATGCAAGTGTTAGTGTATGATGTCAATTTATTTCAGTTTAAACGTAAAAGATTTAATTATTAAAATCCAAATTTCATTGTTAACAGGCCTCTTCAAAGGCTCCACAACGACTCTCGACGGTATCGGTCTGCGGCCGATGCCGGCAGAACGGCCGAAGACTTTAAGAAAACTTAAATCAGTGTATGACGCTTCGCCTACAGAGAATGTGAACAGTCTAAGTAGCAATGGTACTGAGAGACCTAATGGCGTGGAAGATGAGGTCAGAAGACGGAGTAACACCACCAGTTCGACTCAAAGTGGAGATAAATCACTGTCAATCCTTAGTCCGTTTGATGAACAGGTAATGTATTATTTATTTTTTTAAAGAGTTCTCTAAACTTTCATAGGTTAATTCGTCCGTCTGTGCATTTAAAGAACACTTTTGAACGTAATAGGTGCTATTAGCACCCCCCCAACGTGCGTTCACCTTGTCGTGGTGGGGGGGCTCAGTAGTGTACTCGCGAAGCCAAGAAACGCACAGGGAGGTGGCCCGCTTCGGTGGGCGGTGGGAGGCGGCCTTCTTCGGAGGGCGGTGTACCATGCGGGTTGCTCCTGGTACTTCTCTGATAGCAGAGTGGACCGTGGAGCAACCCCATGGTTGTTGTGGTCTGCTTCGGCAGACCTGCCGTCGGGGCGTCGTAGTTGAATGCGTAAGCGATCCTGCGACGCCCCATTGAGACTGGGGAAGGTTTTGTTGGGTTTTAGTGGGTAGTACTGGCTTCGCCGGTGAGTCCCACACTTCGTGCGTAAATGCATTTCCCAACGTTAAAAAAAAAAAGGTGCTATTAGCATGTTGATTTTATTTATTTACTAGCGACTGACCCTCGCTCCTCTCGGGTTCGCCCCTAGTTAATAAATAGGGGGTAGGAGGGTGTAAAATACTTTAGGACTTATCTTATACCTACCAAATATACAAAAAAAATCATTAAAATCGGTCGAGCCGATTCGGAAGGTACGACAACAAACTCCGTGACATGATATATTTATATATTAGATTAAATTTTTCTTCAAACTATTAAATATGCAATGAGCATTTATAAATTATTATTATGCTCTTATATAAATAAATTCGGTACCTATTTGGTACATCACCATGACCATGTCAGTAGATAACGCCGTACATGTATATCAGTTATTTCAAAGCCACAGTAAAAAATTCAGATTAAACTGTTAGGAAGTAGTTTTAAATGTTCCTGTTAGTTATATATTGAAAGAACAATAGACACCTTGAATTTTCGTATTTTCCTCATTGGTATTTATTATTATGCAAATATACAATTTGCTTATATGCCCATGAAATACAAGAAGTGATGACTTATTTGAATACATTTTCCATTGCAAGCTAAGCTTATAACTTAAATTATAAAGTTTTACCTTCAATATCTATAACTATTTGAAATATATATAGTGAATGTTGTTAAGTTGATTTATTTTTGGAGAAGAATTGATATCTCATTATTAAAGCATAGTATTTTTTATGTCATATCCATTTGAATGTTTTATTGTTCTAGTATAGTTAAAACAAAGAATACCATGAAACGCGTAGCACAATACAATTATTTTAAGAATATCATTTTAAAATAGTCTCCGGCAATACCCATAGTAATAATACAATATTCCAAGTAATAATGTATACCTAGGTAATCATTATCTCTTTTTAAAGGTCTAAGCATTATTCCAGCAGTAATATCTAGATGCAGATGTGCAATTTGTCGATACGCATAAAACATTACCACAAAGGCAGGAAGCGATGAAAATTAGCGGTTGTATTTCGGTGTGAACACCTGCGTGACCGTTAAGGCTTACATGAGATATGTTTTTAGCTACGTTATTATATATGACATCGTCCTTGCATTTTATAAAAAGGATCTTTGTCTGTCGGTCAATTTTTTTATTACAAATAGGTACATATGTTATCATGGCAGGTTTTTGTATACATTTCGTTACTATAATATAATACATAGTGCATGAGTATAAATATAGAACATAAACTCAGGTACCTATAATGACATAGAAATAAAATCGTAAGTTTATAAAGACTCCCTATTTCAGGATCGGCGTGATAAAAGTCTAAAACATAATATGATAATTTTTACCATTCACATAATAATAAATATTTTCTTAGTAACGGTATTCCGTTAGTTTTATCTAGATTTTGTAAATTGTTATTGTTACATGGACATCAAGATTACTTAAAAGTAATTATTTAATCATTGTGGAAGGGTTTTTTTATTTATATGAGACCACCCTTTAAATGTAAGCTATTAATTATTAAATAATTATATATAAAAAATAAAAATAGGCAAAGACAAAACAATTCTGTGTCTTTTTCTTTTCTATTTGTCAACCGATTTTCTTTTTTTTTTGTTTAGTATCTATTGCCGAGCTTTAGTTGTTATCAATAAAATAAATATTATTGGAATTTCGTCCACTGGGCGAATACTATTTAAAAAATAGAATTTTGAAATCGATTAAAAATTATCGAAGTTATCGATTTGATAACGATATTGGCGATTTAAAAGGATAAAATATAGCAAGACTTTAAAAATTTATGACTTTAAAATTGTTTGTTCAACTAGTATTACTCGTACAATGAATACTCGTGTCTTATCATACCGTATTCAAATCCATTGTCAGAGTGATAACGCTACCTTGACATAGAAAACAACTATCGTTAATGTTGATAAACATTAATTTATTATACTCGTAATTGACTTTATTTTCTCATACGTTACACGAAGTACTCAAACTTACCAAATATTTAGTAATTTGGATGAATTCTTCGTACGTGTGTGTCAATATAAAAATTTATAGTAAAAAAACTTATTGGCCCTTCGCATATACACAAATATTTTTATACTAACAACTCATTCTCATTCATCCCTAGTGAAAAAGAAAAACAAATCTATCCCACGAGAACCGTACATTTTTCCGGGGTAGAAGTAATCTTTGTGCTATTCCAGACTACAATCTATTTCTGTGCCAATTTTTATTCAGATCTGATCAGCTGTTCTGACGTGATTGAGTAACAAACACTATCCATCCAAACTTTCGAATTTAGGGACATATAACATTTATGGGATTTACAAAAAGAACGGAGTTTATATTGTTCAACCCACAAATACACATAAAACTATAGGCAAAAACCATAAAAAAACGTCTGTAAGTATTAATTTAATATTTAAATGTATTTTTCTATAAAGTAGTATAATAAGCAGATCCGAACAAAAACGATGAATATTCTCATTAATTAACTATGAAAACAAAAGAGAGATTTCTTTTAATTATTCTTAATCTTTTAAACAAAAATATAACTAGGTATATATATTATCAAATGTTATGTTAATTTCTTTACAAGGGAAAGTTGTTCCAATTGCAAGCACTGCGCATTAACTTATAGAAATAACAGATCAAAGGCGTGGCGTCGAATCTGCGACCTTTTGAAATCGTGACCATTCATATATGCACGGCCCTGTAGATAGCCGTTAGTTAATACAAGCACAGATCATATAATACTATACTATTAAGTTAGAGAAGGTACAAGACGGGGTTATTTAATTTTTATTGTATTTATTAATTTTTATTCCACAGTAATAACATAAATACGGGAATAACATATCTACGAGTAAAACATACTTACAAGTGTATTTTAGTAATATGAATGTTTGTTGCTTAGTTATTCTTTCTCGCGGTATGTTAGTTTTGAATTGATTTCGTCAATTATTTTGTATACGATATACGTAATAACACCTCCAGGTAAATTTCTAAGAAATTAATTAAATTTCTAAGATATCTATCGTTAACTGTAACGCCGGCGTGTTCGCGGTCGTGGTGGAATTACTATAGTAATAAAAATATGAGCATTAAACTAATTATTTCAGAGAACTTCTGTAAATGTTTGTGTGGTTGATTCCCCATACAAACTTTCATCCCCATTTTTACCTCCTTAAGGGTTTTTGGGATAAAAAGTATCCTATATCCTTCCCAGGGTCTCAAACTATCTTTTTACTAAATTTCATCTAAATCGGTTCAGTAGATCCCGAGATTATCCCCTACAACCTCACAAACCTCTTTTATAATATTAGTCTATGCGATACTTACAGGTCATAGTCCACCTGTATTCTAACATCCAAATCCGTCAAATAGTTCCAGCTGGAAAGAGTAACAAACATACACACATACAAAAACCTACTCATAATTATAATAGTAGTCACATATACATATGTATTTATGAGTATGTTTCTACCTTTTTATCGTATTTATAATTGTAAACACCGCCCCTGCACATGTCTGACAGGTGTTCTTAAGCCTTTTTGCAACAGCAGGTGTTGTAGTATGCTAATGCCCACCTGGATATCTCCTTCGATTTAAAATAAGTTGTATTCAGAATTAATTACAAAAATATTTATAGCTTTCGACAGTGCAATATTATATGCCAAATAAATAAAATATTAATAATAACTAAAAGGTTTGAGCATTTTTATATATTCCATGGTAATGTCATAAATAAAAAAAACCTATTCTATAGAAGATTTACAGAAAAAATGTTTTAAATGTTGTAAATTTTAAAGTTTTTTCTCTATATCAACATTAGAGTTAACTCAAATTTATTACTCACTAGCAGAATCCGCGGCTTTGCTCGCGCTAAAACTACAAAAAAATTGCTAAGAAGGTAGTTTCATACAAACTTTCATCCCCTATTTTACCCCCTTATAGGATGAATTTCGAAAAATGCTAAAACACGCATTTATTTAATTGTATTGAAGAGCATTAATACCAAGTTTCAAGTAATTTTGATCAGATTTTTTTTTGAATTGTATTATAAAGTGTTTAAGCGTGGGAGTGAGATAATCTCCCGCGGTAAAAAGTAGCCTATGTCATTCTCCAGCCCTCCAACTATCTCCACACAAAAATCACGCCAATCCGTCACTCGGTTTCGGCCAAAAAGAAGAACAAACAAACAAACAAACAAACAAACAAACAAACACACATTCACATTTATAGTATTAGTATAGATGTGTATTACACCTTTGAATTCCTAAGCGATCCGCTACAACACGACTTAACTAGATGATGTTATTTCAATCTTACCTGAGGCTATGGCCTACGAGTATGTAACCATTATTACCGTTTATAAAGAAATTAAGTTATTACCGACAAGTTTATAATGGAAACCCATATCTAAAATAAAATATGAGGTAGCCAACCATAAAATGAAAATTTTATAATGTATTTTATGCCTTGTTGAGCTTGCTTATTATATAAAAATGAAAAATCAAGAAAAAAGTATGTTACACTTAATTACGAGTATATAGCTTTGCATCACAGTTTCTTTAAGCCTACTTGAGAGATATATGAATTTTGAATGACCGACATTGACACTACACCTTTGAGCTAAACAGACCAAGCCGTATGTATAGATAACAAAATTATCTCATGCGAGAATCAAACCTGTAACTCTGAATTTAGCAAGTAGTTACTCCTTCATGCTGAAACGGCTGAACGGATTTGGATGAAGCTTATTTAGACCTGAAGTAATTGGTTACTGTTAGGCACTAGAGCGAAGCGAAGGTAAATTTCTAACAATCTAGAAACGTATTTGAAATTATTATATTTTTAATTTCACTGTTTTCCTGGTCCAAAGACAACAATATACCGGAAATCATCAATGGCTGGGCGCCTTTAAAAGAACGTGAGTCAACAAGCGAAACGTACGATCAACGATGCAATGTATGGGTTAGAGGCACTCGGCATATAGCTTCGAAAGTACATTGTCATTGTCTTATAAATTGTTTTGTTCAATATTTAATAAACAGTGAGGAATCTATGAAATTCACTAAGATCTTATTGTTATCATCATTTTGTTATACAACTATAATAATATGGTGGGTTATCAAATAATAATTAATCAAATTAATTTGCTCAATCATTTATTGATAGTGGAAGTGTCCTTTAGTTATATACATAAGCCAGATATACTCCGTATAACAATCGTAAATGATAGGAATATTAAAAAAATAGTAATTATATTTTTTTTTGTTCACAGGAGGAGTGGGCCAAAATTTCAGAGATCATGGCGTCGTTTGGCAGTAAGCTTGTTAGAGAGTCAGTGTTTGTGTCAGAATTGGAGCAGGAGTTCACTTCTCGGCTGGGGCTCAGTTGTTCTGAGTCCAGTTTGAGTCCTTCTGTTGCCTCGACATTAGGACTTTGGCTGTCGGGACTTGGAATGCACGATTATGACCCTTTGTTTGTAGAGAGCGGTTACGACGATATTGATTTTGTTGTAAGTAATCTTTTGATCTTCTGCTAAATCCATACATATAATAAAATTGTAACTAAGCATTATTATCAATACAGAGGCCGAATCTATAATTTTTAGAATTTTTGTCTGTCTGTCTGTTACCGCGTCACAGAAAAACCACTGGAGGGATTTTGATGAAATTTGGTATGGTGATAGCTGGTTATCCGGGTCAATATATAGGAACTTTCACCGCGGGAAAATGTCGGGAAAAATACACAAACTACAATGTAAGAGTATACTAATATGTAAAACCTAAGAATTTGGTTCTTGTTCATCTGAATGCGGGCGGAGCCGCGGTCAGTACTAGTATTACATAATATGTCATAGGTATCATAACAGATTTTATGACATATTCTCTTTTTTATATTTGTCAAATAGTTTTATACGTTTAAATTAATTTCTTATATAAAAAAAAGTTAAGTATTACATATATTATTCGAAAACACATAGCTAAGCTAAAAATAAGATATCTTGTTTATGTTATTAGATTTAATACAAATATAATTTTATGACCTCAATTATATCAAAACATTTATTTCCAGAACGGAATCCTCAACGAAAATGACCTGAGAGAAATGGGCATAGAAGAGAATGATAGGCAAAAGATACTAGAGTCAGCAAAACAGTTACCTCTTAAAATAGCAGAAATAAGCAATAACTATAACAATAATAATATAAGTAAAAACCAAAACGAGTCAGTGGATGATTGGCTTAGAACTATTAATCTAGAGCAATACAGTGATACGTTTAGAAGGCATTTGTACGTAGACATGGATAGAGTAAGGCGGATTTGGGAGGTGGAGTTGACAGCTGTGTTAGAAATTAATAAGGCTGGCCACAGGAAAAGGATACTTTGTTCTGTATCCGGCGAACAGAATGGACCAGCTTGTAATATTGAAGAAATCAACACTGATCTCAAGAATTTGGTAAGTGTTTGTTTAATTCTTAGAGAAGCTAAAGATTTTGTTTGTTTGCACCCATTTATCTCTTGAACTATTTTCAGTTATATTTATAAAAACCTATTCCATCTTGTCTGTCTGTTGATGTCTATTTATTGAGGAACCTAATAATATTCTAAATTCACGCCTATGACCTGTACGAAGGAATTATATGTATGTAAATTGTAAATAAATAAATTATGCAAGCGGGTCTGCGGGCAAAAGCTAGTATTTTATGTGGTATTATATATTTTATTTGATTAAGGGTTATCCCTTTAAATTGGGCTTAGCTTTCGGTTGTTTAACTTTATCATAATATTTATTTAAGAAGAACTAGAACTCGGATCCTGCAATAATAAAAGTAATATTATCAACGTTACTTTTAATAGGTACGCACATACAAATGTAAATAAAATTGAAGTGTCTGTTTGTAATATGAAAATAACGGCTTTTTACTTAATCTATAAATGAGTTGTTTATACTTAAAAAAAATTTGTCTGTCCGTCTGTTCAAGCTATTATCAGATTGGTATTATAAATGCTAAAGTTTGTATTTGTATATGTTTGTTACTCTGAACTGACTTGGAATTTTCACAATTTAGTGATCATAAATCTATACATATAATAAAATTGTAACTGATCGCTTTTTCTACATGGAAGATATTTGAGAAAAACTATCATTCCACTTTATAAAACAATAGAACCAAAAACTATGATTTTTAGAATTCTTGTCTGTACGTTTGTGCGCGCTAATCTCAAAAAACGGGTTAACTAATTTGGGTGTGGCTTTCACTAATTTATTGCAGTAAGCTTCACTTACCATTTAGTTTGTTTTATTTCAATCGGTTTATAAATAAAAAAGTCATGTCAATTTAAATTTTACGACACCATTCCATTTAAACATTTACAAGCATTTAATTCGAAATGTAATATTGTTCAAGAATGTTAAGGAATTACAACTAGTAAGGTTTCCGGATTATTGGTATTTAACGTTCAAATAAACTGGAGCGCTTAAGTATTTACATTTGATACATACTTGAGTGAAAAATAACTAAAAAACAGTTTTATATGTATGTTTGTCATTTTGTTCTTGAAATGCAAAGTATGGGTTTTTCATTGGAGTAAGATTTTGAGGATTTTTTAAGAAAGAGTTCTATTAGTTAAAATTAATTAATCATTATAATTATTTAAACTATCAGTTTATTAGTATGTCTTCTAGCTTTGCTTGCTTGAAGGTGTTCTTTTATATACCTTCTAGGTGGTGTAGTGGCTAACATGTAAGGCTGCACGTCCGGAAGTCCTGGGTTCGAATCCCAGGTCGGACCAAGTTTAGTTATTGAGTCTTTTTGTTAAAAAAGTCCTAATAATGTCCGGAGTTGGAAAGTTGGTGGTGTTTCACCTCGTACGCCATGCACGTAAGCTGTTGCTCTTGGGCCTAATCTCTCACCGTCCTCTGTCGTGTCAAAATATCCCACTGGAGTATGAGAGTGACAGGAATAGAGAGTGCACTTGTGTCTGCGAGTACACGCGCTGCACTATAATATCTCCTGCGCAGTTGCATAGTTTGTAATATGCCATTGTGGTTAAAATTGGTAGGGAGGACATCATTATCATCATCATATATGTTCCTATAGTCTGCGTTTCATAAATATTATTTCAATCAACTGACTATGGCTTGGAATATTATAGAACTACTCGTCCCATTGAAATTCCTGTTCTTCTGTTGAAAAACAATTAAATATTCAAAAATCTATTAAAATGTTTTTTTATATTACAAAAATCACACATTTATAACAAGTCGAATAATAAAATAGTAATATTATCAAACACCGTCAAATCACCAACCTAGATCCTGATACTTATTCAAATTATTACAGAATGTAAATCATTAAGTCACAATAGAGTTAAGACATTTAAATTTGTGTACTTATGAAATAATTTAAAAATATTTGAGACAGTATGCCAGTAAAACGTCCTTGAAGTCACCGATCGCCAATTTAAAGCGATACATATTCCGCACCAGTCTGCACGTACAGACAAGCCGACGTTTGCATATTAATATTGTTCCCAGGCATAAAATTACACAATAACTGAAAATGGAAACCGTTACATATTATTATTATATAACTTTGTTTAAAATAAATGAATATAGCTGTTCAAATTTCTATGAAAAATCCTCCATTTTCCCAAGGGAAAATATAAAGAAAAAAGTATAGTAACGATACATAATCCATACTAATATTATAAAAATCCAAAAGTTTGTGAGGATAGATGGATGGATGGATGCTTGTTACTCTTTCACGCCAGAGCGGCTGAACGGATCTGGATGAAATTTGGCACACAGATAGATTATAGTCAGGAATATCACATAAGTTACTTTTTATCCCGGAAAAAGGTACAGTCCTCGTGAGGTAGATTTGTTTTTGTCTAGGGACGAAGGGGACGAAGTCACCAATAAACTAATACATATTTTATTTGTTGCAAGTAAAATAAAAGGCCACTACTACTTTACCTCAGGATTTTTATTCGGATTCAAAGTTTAAATGAAATTATCACCACAAAAAATCTAACGTCATAATCTCAGTTCTCCACAGACGAACAATGGGGAGACTAAATGATTTTTAATATCATTTTATAAAATTCATATATATAAATTGAATGATACTAATAAATTTCAAAAGAAAAGAAAGTATTTAAAAATAAAAAGAATATACAAAATTAACTTAGAAAAACGCTGCTCAAGACTTAAACTTCAAAGTAGGTATCTAATATGACACTTGAATCAAAATTGAAAGTTTGTTTGTTAACACATCACGTCCTAACTTTTCACTTATCTTTACGAAATATTACTTGAGTCATATAATTGCATCATGTAGCCTAAATTCTATGTCACATTATTTACATTTAACAAACTAGTTTGAGTTCTACGGTTTGACTTGATTTTTTAGAAATAGATATTTAAATTAAATTCGTGGCTTAAGAATATTAAGCAGATAATAAAATATTATAATTTTTGACTTTTGTTAATTTTGTTTTTTGTGTGTTGTTGCGAAGTGGTCATATATCATCTCACTAAGAGAAATCTTACTAACTACAAATCTCTTAAAAACCAATAATATCTTATCATTTTAACAAACCTATAAGCATGCTTCAAAAACATTATACTTCTTATTGATAACATCAAAATTTGAACATCTACTGCAGTTCATTAATCTGAACTCGAATTTACTTTGATTTAATTACATACTATATGACGAACAAACTCACAACTAAAAAATTAACTTCGTCGATACATTACATGAATATTTATTTACCTTACATAATACAATCAATTCAATCAAAAGCTCATAAAAAGGATATCCGATGACGAGTTTGAACTACCGAGGGAGTCGCTATGATAGTTGCATGGACAAATTGCATTAATTGCTTGTAAGATATTGTACGATACATGTGTTATTGTTAAATGTTACTTAATATGTTGACTTAAATATATGTATGTAAATATGTTATTGTATTTTTTAACCCTTTTTTATGGGATTTTTAACACAATGTTGTTATTTCCCAAAAAATAGTTTTTTTTGTTAGGTTTATTTTGTAACGATTTTAAATAGGTATTTGAGTAATTTCCAATTTGATTTAGCTTTTTTTAATTACAAATTAGTGCATATATAGATTTTAGGACCAAGAATTTAAAAATATGCCGGGAAATTAAGATATTTTAGAAAAATATCAGTGCTTTCTTGTGTAAGATTTTTATGAACTTAAAGATCATAAATATTAAATATTAGACAAGACAACGCATGTATGGTCAGCTAGATTTAAAAAAATATTTTTATCAAATTAAGCTTATTGAAATATGCAAAATTAATTAAGAAACACGCATATACTCCAAATAAAACCTATTTCTTTATATATATACATACATAATTGACACTTTCCCACCATTCAAAAACGTTATAAGAACATTTATGACCATTTGATGTCTATCAGAACACGATTACAGACTATTGAATTAATTTAAAGCAGGACGTCCCTTTGCCATATACGCTATACATTGTACTTTATTACCTGCTATTATATTCGTCATATAATTTTATTGTTAGCTACAAACAATAAGTTATCATTTTATTAAGAAGCTATTAGGGAGATTGTGTATTTTTCTTTGGTCCTCGGAAGAATAAAATATGCCAGGCCAGGCCATTTAATTTTAAGTATTTATATATATATATATATATATTTTCTTTAATTTTGTAATCAATCAAGAAGTCTGACGCGTAATTTAAGAAAGTGACCATTATTAACTTCTTATAATACTTTTAATATAAGATATTATTTTTTTTTTAATTTTATATTGTTAGGATTATATAAGGCACTATTTCTCACCGACTTCAAAATACACGCAAATAGTCAGATTAAAAGAAAAGGTATACGATTTTTGAAAACTTCTGAATGCGAAATTAATTATATTTAAAGTAGTTTTAGACAGACAGACAGCTAACTTTAACAACAAAGCTCCGGTATATAACTTTCTCGCCCCTACATAGAGTATAAAAATGAAAACTTCTTGAAATTTTCTTACATTACTTTAGAAATATTACATTAATCCAAAATCAACTTAATCTCCGACACGTCACTTGAAGTTTATTAAAAAGATACGAGCGTGAAATTCAAGGGTTTTAAAGGTAATCCCTTAAATTGCTGATCCCACTAATTACATGTGTCACCTGGCAACACCCTGTACATGTTATAATGATAGGCAATATTGGGGGGAAGCGGCACGTGCATCATAGTTAAATAACTATATACTTTAACAAGGTGTTATAATCAAAGAGGGATAAAAGCGACAGGCGAGATTGATCATTTGCTACTTTTACTATAATTCAATTACTTTCTAAACATACTTGTTTTAAATCGATTTTAATGGAGACTTTTACCGCAGTGGTAATATGATATTTATTGTGGTTATGGGTTCGATTTTTGCCTATGGTTACTAAATAATAATATTACATAAAAATGTTATATATTATTGATTTTATACTTAGATACTCCCAAATAGTTTCAAAGCTTTCGTGAGTAATAAACAAACATACTATTTCATCCTAATCTGAAACCATAAATATTAAGATATTTTAAATTAAATAGACTCTTGCTTAAACAAAAAATATAATAAATTTCTTATTAAAATCAAGAAAATGTTATACTCATATAACCACACAAATCTTAACCTTACACATCAATAATCATATAGACTACATATAGAGCTTTTCAAACGCTACTTGTTATTATAGCTACCTACGTATGTTTTTAAAAGGCATAGGCGAGACTTTTTTTTAATTTCACACATCGCCAACTCTGTATGGGTAATTAGTGCTCAATTCGTGTATTCAGCTTGCCATTCATGCCGAGTGTGCCACTCTACCCTAACTACTGACTCTATGTACGTAATACATAGGTTGTGAAAAGAAATCTATGTGCATTTAATGGCTAGAAAATATAGCTGTTGGATTTACTTTGTATGATAGTTATTACTCGTATATTAAATAATAAGGTTGTTTGGTTTGTTTATAATATAATTGCGCTAGTTATTCAGAGTTACAATGTTGTATAAGTATCATAATATTCTATTATAATTAAATTGGTAATACGTAACTTTAGGCTTTAATTTGTATAAGGTGTACCGTGCATTTTTATCTACTTGGTCTTAAGCGTTATATGTTTCATTTATATAACAAAATTCATTAAGCCATATGCAGTTTATTTATTGACGACACGTTTGGCTCAGTTTGTAGCGACCCTACTTGCTGTGTCAGCGGTTTCGGGTTCGAGTCCCGCTGGGGGCATTCATTTGTGTGCTGAGCACGAATGTCTGTACTCCAGTCGTGGGTGATTATATTTACAACATCTATGTATTTAAAGTTATATATGTGTAGTGTATTAACTATCTGTTATCCATAACACAAGCCTCGTAGCTTACCATGGAACTAGACAGTGCTGTGTGTTAATGTCCCAACATATCTATGATCTATTATTATTTAAAGTATATACCTATTAGGTTTACTTTACTACTACGTAAACTAAAATCGATGCTTAGACATTTCTCTCATATTCATTCTAAATATTTACAATTTTAATGACGACATATTATAAGACAAATTCTATGAGCAAATTGTATAAACCAGCCATTTCCAAGGTCCTACTTAACGTTTTATCACTCGAAATGTAAAGCCCAATGAAGCTACGAGCGAATAGTAAACACACGTGCAAAACCCTATCTGCCATTCAAATTCATTGCAACGGAAGATTATTCAATTCGACGAAACTATAAGTACGGTGCCTCGCCAAAGCCTAGCCCTGCCATTTTTTATTTCCATCAAATGACACTCGTTAAATTAGACGGTTGACACTGTCAATTATATCCTTTTTGTGCCTTTTGCTTCTAGAGGCTTAATTAAAATTTCACGCTAGTCTACAACGTGTTTGCGTCGGAGCGTTTTTGTTTTACACTTCTGAAGTGTGAACTGTTTGAATCATTTTTCTTTTTTGTTTCAGCTATTGTTTGGCCCTTTTTGATTTAATTAGCACTCTTTTGCATGTTTTTCAGGTAGTCGATAGGTTATTATGTTTTTTTTTTGTCTATAGTATAATGAAAAGTGTGAATGGATTCTTTTAATTAAGAGTCGTGTTTTATGTTCAATGTTCATTCTACGTTGCTATGGGAAATTGGATTTTTATACTTAAACGTTTTTTTTTCGCATGTAATAGTTATAAGGACTGCTGGCCTATATTATGGCCTATATATATTATATTATGTTTTAAGCCAAACGCTAAAAGTATGTATGTTATGATTATTTTAAAAATTTACCTTACACTAAATTTAACCCCGCCACTAATAGAAATAATTAGAGTCAGTCAAACACATGCCCTATTATTATCTTAAAGTGATTATGAATTAAAAAATTAATATTTTTTTGTTGTAGAAAAATAATATTCAGCAATTAAAAGAAGAAATTAAAGAAAAGTTACCTCCATCGGAGAACTTGAAACCTGTCCCACCTCCTGTGGTCCCAACTCTTGCACCACCTGGTGGAGAAACATTAAAAAGAAGTAAGAAGAACCGACCTGCTCCTCAACCTCCTCGACCTTCAGACCTGGAGATCAGAGCACCTTCGGAACTTCTCGTAGGTGTTCCGGGAGCTTTGAAAACGCAATGGAAACATCAACCCTTCGTGCTAGTTACAGGAGCTGTGACATACGTTGCTAATGTAAGTTACTCTATGAATATCAGAATATTGCTAGTTAACTCGCTTATAATATACCTTAAACAAACTCAATCTTTTATTAGCCTTAAGTAGAAATCAATTCCCTAAAGGGATTAAAGAGGGGATAAATTTTTATATCGAAATTATTATTATTATTTTGTGAAAAATATAGAAGATACAATTTACCAAAATTTGCCAAAATGGATGGAAGGAGTTAGGAAATCCTTTACATATATAATAATTTGTTATTCCGCTTCAACAGTATTTGGGATCAACAGTGGTAAAAGAGCTCAGAGGCACGGAGTCCACGAAGAAGTCTATTCAAAAGTTAAAGAAGACTACCAAAGAACCGCGTGACTCTCCCGACATCATTCTGTCCATCAGCTACAGAGGGGTAAAGTTCCTCAACACCATTACCAGAGTAAGTATTAATAAGTTTCCCATCAATTTTATACTTTTCATCCAAAATAGCTTTTTCTATACTATCTATTTTGAAAACTAACGCAATCTGATATTTCAGAATTTAATTATATTATTTAGAAATATAATATTATCTTTATTATTTAGAAAGACAATAGACTTATCTATTATTTATCTGAATAAAATATAACTTAAGTTGTAGCTCGTTTATAAAGAAGAAAAAAATATACGTGGAATATTATCAACATTCTTGTTGCAAAATATTTGAATAAATAGGCGGTAACAGATCCTTTTTATCCTCCGAAATTGTTTGTGAGAAGAAAGTTTCTTTGAGAACTAACCAAGCGTGCAAAGAGCAAATCCCAACTCCCTTAGCTAACGATAACGCCCTGACTTTACCCGTTTGATTTTTAATTATGGCACACCGTTTACACTCCATCGGTCCTCTTGGCCATCCTTTGTGTTTCTTACAGGAAAAGGATTATTATTTTTATTATTTTTTCGAGGATAAATTTTATGTCAGAAGGCTTCACGGTTAGTTAGATAGGATAATTAGTGTTTTTGCCGCTATTGTGCCAGCGAAACAAAAATTCGAAATTCATTCTCATTTACATCGTGTTTTTGAGCGGAATATTTTTAAGGGTAATATTTTTTTTGGTTGAGAAATTCTGAAATCAAATACCTTATTAATTCTATACAAGAATAACAATAGTAAAAAACGTTTTTTTCCAAAAAAAATCTACTTTCTTCAGGTAAATTTTCTGTTATTTGAACATTTTTAAGGAAATTGTCTAAGCATAAACATTTATATCCATACTAATATTATAAATATGAATGTGTCTGTTTGTTTGTGTGACGTGACAACAGAGTGACGGATTGGCTTGATTTTTTGTAGATTTGTAATTTTTGTGAATTAGTAGACTTGGAGATAGGTGAAAGGGCTGGAGAGTGACATAAATTTTTTACGGCGGGAGATTATCTCATTCCCACGAAAAAACACATAATAAACGGAAGCATTAATGTGTATATATAAAACTATTTATAGTATAATCTGTTATACTCTAAACTTCTTTTGTCCCAAGGAGCTGGTGTGTGAACATGAAATCCGCAACATTCACTGCGCGTGTCAAGACGCAGATGATCTAACGCACTTCGCCTACATCACAAAGGACCACACCACTAGAAGCCACTACTGTCACGTATTTAGAGTCGCTACAATGGTAAGTCTGAGTTTCTATAAATTTTATACATATTTTCTATGTTTGGTGTTATGTATATTATAATTTTTTCTATAATTTTCGTGTTAATCTGATTAAAGTAAAACTTTGTGTTGTAATTGCGATAGCTTCTGAGGTATTGATGGTAATCCTCAAAAACGTATCTAAAGTTTTACTTACTAAAGACAAAAATTTGAAGTTAGCTCAATAGAAATTATATCAAATTTATATTGCTATATAAGTTATTGGGATCAGGCTTAAACCAATTATCAATCCATATAATCTGTAACAGAATTAAAAAAAAAACAGAAAAAAACGAAGGATGCGATTAGTAACGTAAAGTAGTGGACTTCTATTACTAATACTTAATTTGTCAATTATATGTAAATTTAACTGTGTAACAATAAACAATATCATCTTTTCAGGATCAAGCAACTGAAGTAATATTAACATTAGGGGAAGCTTTCGAAGTGGCTTACCAGATGGCACTACGAGAGCAAGCGAATAGAGTCAGAATTCCTCAAAACGTACAAAACGTAACAAAAACACCAACACACGACCCCACGACAGCTACTAATAAAGAAAAAGTTAATGTAAACCACGGCAGATCACATTCCATAACAGAAATCAAATTAAATGGGCATCAGTTAAAAATAGCACCAATGTCTGCTTCGTTGTCAAATGAAGATTTCCAGAAAAATTCAGACGGTTCCAGAAGCCCTAGGAATCCACTCCTCAAAGCGCCTATAGCTTCTACGGAAGAATTGTGAAAAAGGTAATGTTCACTATTTGTAGGTGATTAGAATATTTCAAATAAAATAATCTCTTGAACATGTAGATACGAGTATTCCTTTTGAGATTCAGCTTATAGTGATTATGGAGTGTTTTGAATTTGCAATTTGTTGTTGGATTAAATGTCAAATAAATGATGTATAAAAATACACAGCTATTATAAATATATTTAAAAAGTATAATGTAACAGTTTTTATAAAGGATTTCCAATTTTTTTCGGACGGTCCGTCGGTATTTTTTGTTAGTATTATTATTAATGATATTCGAATAAAAGTTAAGGCCTAATAATTGGCTTATAAAATTCTCGATAAGTCTTCCGATTGTTTATGAAAAATCGATTACGCACCATACCACTGACGTCTGAGACAATGGTCTAAAGTGGATAATTTTATAAGTAAACTAAGTTTTCAAATTAATTCGATACAAGAAATCTGCTTATGAATACTTTTATAATATTGAATTTATCAGATTTAATGCACATTGAAGGAGATCTCGAATTTGCGATATATAACGATTCGATTTTTTATATTAAGTGTTTAGTGTTTCATCGTTGTAATTTGAATATTGGACAATATTATCGTTTTTATCATTGGGTGATTCGTTTTCGATACTTTTTTTCATCCACCCTTATGAGGACAAAAATATTAATACATACATACATACATACATACATATATCAATAATAGAGCCCTTTGAACTATCCCTATTTAACTAAAATGTTATATACCGACTTCAAAATTAATTTAAAAGTAATTATTTTAATCTCGAAAGTGAATTCTCTCTTGAATATTACATATATCGTCGTCTTAGTCATTATTTGCTTAAACCTCCAATACTTGTTGTACTTTACAGGGGAGAATTTTTTTCCTCTATTTTAAAAACAAAGCTTTATTTCTAATTATTATATATATATTAATTGTATAGATAAATAACATCTTTTTGTATTTTATACATAAACGTAGAGAATGGACTGAGCAAAACTCTCACGAAATTGACCACTCTCTAGAAAGAGAGAAAGCGAACGTGCGGCCAATACCGCTCTTTATTCCGATTTGAATTTATAAATGGAATGTAAAAAAGTTATAATATTATTGAAAATTAATGGAATGTAAAATGGTCATCATTCATACCTATCTTCATCAATAATAATTCAGTTAATACAGAAGACTTCTGGCCACACATTGGTTTTGTCTCTGTCGCGCCTTTCCACCATTTTTAGCTGGTGGCTGGCAAAGACACATTCAGTACACTCTATGTCTACAAATTTATACCAATAGAATAGACATTTAAAAATCACGAATTCTGTTTTAAAAACTTCGGTTTTATCGCTTGGAATAAAGGCTGAGACGACGATATGTGCACCTTTGAGATGTAAAAAAACCTTAAAATAAATATGAAATTTGCTTCACAATTGTAGTAAAAATCGCATAACACGCACAACCTCCTCGTCCCAAGTCGGTTAAAAGGGATAGAATTGACAAATTATTTATTATAAATAGGGCTTTATAACTTGCCTAATCTATATATATATATATATATATATATATATATATATATATATATATATATATATATATATATATATATATATATATATATATATATATATTAATATTTTTGTTCAAAAACAAGTGTTTTGTATGTGTACATTAGGTAAACGGGATTTTACTATGGAATAGTGAAAGTTGAGTTGAAAGGCGGCTGTTATTTATAATAGTTTGTATATTTTTGTTTTTTAAGTGTGTAATGTTTTTAAGTAATTTGTTTAGTGTCTAATAATTTGGTCCAATACAAAAACGTATTATTAGTATATATAACTTAAGGATATATAATCCAAATTTAGCTTGTTGGTAATGAATGATTGCTATTTAACGATCTCTGTTTAGTTGTCTGTTCAAACTTCTAGATCGATTTTGATAGAGTTTTGACTTAGACAGGTAGAGCCGTGGGTAATCGCTAGTATAATTACGGGCCTAATATATAATCTCGAAAGATATTATCGTATTGTTACCAATTTTTCAATGTCGTCATGTATATAGTGTTAGAATATCGTATGCATAGACTTAACAGTGGTTGTTGGACACATCTTATGACAATGAATTGTTTTAACGTATAGTACATAAAACATATCATACCATTGTTATATTATAAATATTCAAAACAAAATATTATATATTCTAGAAATAAACTTGATCGATAAGTTTCTGGGATATATCCTCATTTTACTCATAGTTTTAAAAAAAATCTTTGCGTACACTGTCGAGTGAATGACAAAAAATGTTTTTTTCACAATAAAAATCAATTAATATTGCTCAATCGATATTTGGTTGTCGTTTTCTGTTTTACATATTGTTTTTAAATTGTATTTTCCTATTGTATACTGTTTTAGTTTCGAGATGTACTCGATGTGATATAAAAGTAAAATATTTAAATGACGTATGTTCTTTCATTGAAGCTATTGACCTTCGCTTATATATTACATATGTAGCACAGCTTTTATATAACTGTTAAAGTATATAAGGTTTTCAATGTATTATATTATAGAATTTATAAATTGTATCTATCAATGTTAATGTAATGTAGGCTCTTATAATGTGCGAATACGAATTGTGCCAAATTGCAATAATACAGGAATTTAAGCCAATTTGAATCCACCACTTGTTTTCCTTTGAGAGTTTCTTATAATTTTTCAATTAAATAGTATCATATGGATTAAATAAATAATTAAAATATAAGTAACGCAGCAACAGTACCAATGAAGCCTAAATAAAACACTAAGTTGGTTCCGGGATCGATTCCCGACACGAGTTTTCATATAAAATTATCAATCTAAGAAATATATTTAACTTTGTTAAACATTTTTCAATAGCAGTAGTTGTATAGAATCTTTCAATTTTAAAAAATAAAATAAAAAAGTAATTCATATTTTTATTCGACAAAGAACATTTTTGTGACAATATGCGTAGAATAATTTTTCAATCGAAATGCTTTTTTTTACATATTTTATTGTACACAAATATATATGAATATGTACTTATATAATAAAGATGTAGACATAATTTACTAGTTATTTTATAAAAGAATGTATACCAAAGATTTATGAAAATACTTAGTATATCTATATATGATTCTTATTTGTTAAATTTGTATTGCAAGGAACACTGCCGTCAAATCGAAATTTTCGTAGATACATGTTTTATATATTTATATTATGTAAATATTTAATTTAAAGTTATATGCTATATATAATTTATCAAATTAGCCATTTCTTCTATAATGCATGCTTCATACTTAACTATATAAGTCTTTGAAACTCGCTTCTAAGTACCTAATTGAATATAGAAAAATATATTGGTTGTGTACCGAACTATCTTTTATTTATAGTGACTTTACATCTATTCTATACTACGGTAGCAGATTTCAGATATCTATTGTAAATATCTACGCTCATAATAAATGATTAAATATACAAGAATGGCGTCTTATTACAGAGTACTAGATTATAATATAGAATATATTATGATTAATAAAATAGTTACAAATTCCTTCCTGAATGGAAATTTAAAGGAGATAATATATGTCATTCCTTATGAACCGATTGAAATAAAACAAATACTAAAACAAATATTAATGTTAAGTGAAGCTTATCACAATACATGAGTGAAAACCGCATTCAAATTGGTTAAGCCGTTTCTAAGTAGCGTGCACAAACGCACAGACAAACAGACAAGCATTCTAAAGATCATTTTTTTGGATTCTATTGCTTGAATAAAGACCCCCAATAGTAGTTTTTCCCATACCTTCCATGTATAGACAGCGATCAGTTGCACTTTTATGATATGTATACATTTCTAACACTGGGACTTAAACATGAGATGATAAAATTTTTGAAATTTTTTTTCTATTACGATTGTAGAATGACATCTTATTTAAGTCCCCTTGTAAATAATAATAATAAACAAGTCAACTGGTGAGCTACTTTGAAGTTAGCACATATTGTGTATTATACGTTAATATTAACCTTATGCTACGTGATTATTATAAATATTATTAAAATTATAAATGCGAAGATCTGTATGTGTGTATGTTTGTAACTCTTTCACGCAGAAACAGCTGGAAGGATTTTGATGAAATTCATTAAAAAGATAGACTACCAGGAGTAACATATAGGTAGTGTCAGGCATCTAGGGATGCACAAGATCGAACGAAGGTAAGTCACTTGTGAATAATAACATATTAATCACATTAGGCTACAGTTTAGTACATGGAACGCGGCTTCTGGAGCAGTGGGTGGTATTTTTGGATATGGGAGGTGTTAGGGTTTAGGTTTAGGGTGGTGGTATCAAATGTCAAAATAACAGCAAATGTCATAAAAAATAAAAATGTATGAAAATTTTGTAACTTTACTCCATAATTTTGACTCCTTCGTTTCCTCAATATATATACTATAATATATTATAAACCTACTAGCGGCTCACCCTCGCTTCGCTCGGGTTCCCCTCTAGAAAAACAAAGTAAAATTATCCCTCGGGTACCGTACATTTTTTCGGGATAAAAAATAGCCTGTGTTATTCTGATATATGAGTTATATTATTGTAAAGTTTCATTAAAATCCGTTTAGTAGTTTTTGCGAGAAAGAGTAACAAACATCTATACTATCTAATCTAAGATCTAATAGGATTTAGACTTCCTATCCAAAAATACCATCCACTCCTTTAGAGGCCACGCCCCATAATATATTAAACCTGTGCCTCACATTAATATACACATTATAACGGCAATATGAGTACTCGTACAATTCGAAATGGCATATCATATATATCCATGATCAATACGTAACCATTTTTAACTGCGCATCTAGAAAGTAAGTGGAACCGCGGGCAGAAACTGGTAATAATAATAAAACTGTTTATGTGAACAAAAGCGGTTGCTACTGAGTTATGACAGAAAATCCCAGTAACTATAATACTCTGCC